AACCACGCAATATCATCTCAAGAATACCAAGAGAAGCACGTAAAGCCATTCCACAAGAACACAGCTAGCGACAACACCAGCGATAACACAATTACGATACCAATGATGATACCAACTACGACACCAGGACGATACCACTAGCAACAATACACCAATGACGGCACCAACGACGTGGTAATAAAAAAAAAAAAGGTTAGTAAGCGAAAACAAAAAAAACAATAATGATTATCAACAATGATCATTATTTTTATATGATGCACGTGGGGATGCACAACCGTGCAGGTGCATAAAAAACATATTCCTATAAATAAATTATCAAATATTTCTCCAGACATTTCATTATATTCAAGTCTTTGCAAACAATATACTACAGAGCAAAACTTAAAAATTAATGACAATGATGATATTAAAAAAATTGAAATTATCTCAAATTTGATACCAAAAAATTTTATAGATATAGTATTACGAAATAAATAGCCAAAAACAAGAGCAAACATTGAAGGATGGTCGACAAAGCTAAGCAGTCAGTATCCTCTTTTTCATGATTTACATATATCATATTCAGAATATTTTAGTTTACAAAGTGCTTTTCTTAATAATAAATTAGAATTTTTTGATTATATTTCATATACTATCATTGAAAATGATAGAAAATCAACTCGACTTAAATTTCATGTTGGTGAAATAATTGAAATTGAAGAAGAAAGTGAAGGCCTTACATATGCAAAAATACAAGCGATTTTACAACATTAAGCAAATAATAATGAATCTGCAATTTTCTTTGTCTTAAAATAGCTTCAAGCAACCAATACAAAAGACTTGATTTAGACTGCCTATATTACAAACAAATAATGAATAATCAACAATTTTTTCGAATTTATCTAATCTCATATATTCACCATATTCAAAAAATTTATTTTTTATCTGCATGCATACAAAATCACGATCAAAAGCATGCTACCAATAATGATCAAAAATATATTAAAAATAAGTTTTTTTATATGACTGTATAAAAACCGTAATGTTTGCTTATTTCTATAAGGTATGTATATATATTTAATTTAGTAAAAATAAATTTTCTGTAATTTGTAATTAGATTTAATTTATATTACAAAATTGTTAGATAAAGTAATATTATATCAATATATACAAGAAATAGAAATTTATCAGAGATATATAAAGAATAAATAGGTTATTTATTTAAATAAGAATAAAAGTTTCTTATTTTATTCTGTCTTTTATTGTACAATTTTTTTAAGTTTTATACTACAGTACTAAAATTTTTACGATTCAAAGTCATACTTAAAACTTAACAATCAGAATTAGTTATATATCTTAATTCAGAAATTTAGTAATGCTATTCTTAAGTTATAACAAAAAAAAAACCTTTAAATTTGATTAAATAATCTAATATATCTCTAATATATACATATTAGAAATATATCTAATTGAAACTTATTTAAATTTTTTACCTGCAGTAATGTAATAATAGTAACTATTGCTATCAATAAGCATTTGATAATTAATTTACATAATAGTGAATATAACTATTACTGCTATTCTTATCTCTATTTACTTCTTTGCCGACCGGTTTTACATTTTAATAAATTTTGAACTAACAAACAAGTGACAACACCAAGTATAGTTGGAATTGGCAAGTTGACAGTAATTGCATCACAACTACGAAGTGCTACTTTCATATCAGTTTTTTCTAATTTTGAAATAATAATTTTCTTAATAGCTTCTTGAACAAAATCACCCAAGGCATTCTATATTCTTTTATTACTACGAAGAGCAGGCTATTCTGTTGCTTCAAGAAATTGAGAAAGTATCTCATACTATATATCCTCAGAAATAAAGTCCAGAAGTTGGGCATCAATAGAAGCAATATTACTATAATTTGATAGTTAATATTAATAATTGCTTAGTTTTTAATTTTCAAGTTTAGTATTTATCACTAGTGGTAATACCACCACTTTTTATATATTGTTTTTAGGTTTTTATAGTTCTGACTATTTTTACTTAATACTCCTGACATGAGTTAGCAAGTAAGTTTTTGAGATGTAGTATCCCAGTGATATCGCCACTAGTGGTAAATAGCAACATTCATTATTTTTTTATTTTTAAAACTTACCCAAATTGATTCAAACATTCATCAGCTCTCTTTCGAAGCTTTGCAAGAAAGCGATAACAATAATTATCAAAGCAACTACCAACCTTTTTAATTAATGCTAGCATCTGCTTGTCAACTTTGGAGATACCACATACAGCAGATACTAATTCAGTATACAATGCAGGAGTATTATTCCTTGTTCTTAAAAATAATGCTTTTGCTTCAAGTTCTAAATTTGCTATTATTGTCTATTTAAATTTATAATTATATAGTTAAAATTAAATAAATAAATAAATAAATAAATAAATATTGCAAAAAAATAGCAAATATATTCCTGATCTGGTATTAAAGTAATTAATGACGTTCTATCACTCAACGAAAACTTTAATTTTGATGAAGATTCTTGAGAATTTTCCAAAGTTTGTAACATTGCATTGTATATCTCAAATGCTAAATCAAGTACACATAGGTGTTTAGCTAACCAAGCAGCAGCTTCAAATTCACTTGAAATTTCTTGAAGTTCATCTGGTTTTTGTGAAATTTGCTGATTGTCTAGTTAAAAATTAATTAATATTCAGAATTCTTAAGCTAATAACTTTGTCAGTATCTATTAATTACTTACAATTAAGTTTTTCAAATCCTTTATTATTAGCTAATAATCCTTCATTGGATAATTCCTCTTCGTTTAGAGGTAAAAGTGGTGTTAACCTTGATTCTATTATGTCATCATTGTCAGTTCCTACAGTATATCTGAATTTGATTCTTGATCCTCTTGGTCAGATTCATCTATATTCATATAAGATTCTATATGTTTATCTTTATATAGTTTTTGTTTTTTTGGTGGCAAACCTATTGGTTTGTATTAATAATATAATAAACTAACAACTATTAATAAATAAAAATAATTAGTTGTTACTTGTGATTTCACTAGAATTTTCTTCAATTTCGTCAACGTCTATAAAAAATATAAAAAATATAAAAAATTAAGAACTAGGTTAAATAAAATATTTTTGAAATATAATTCTTACTATTATATTGAGAAGTTGGTATTTTTTTTTTTCTGCTATACTTATTAGCTAATTGCTTTTCTGTATCTATTAGAAATAAACAAATATTTTATTATAATATAATATTAACTTGTATTAATATATGACAAAACTATACAACAATTGATAACAACTAAAATAATTACTACTTGTGATTTCGTTAAAATTTTCTTCAATATCTGTAAAAAATATAGAAACTATAAGAAACAGATTATATATTAATACTTTTGAGATATAGCTGATATACTTCTCACCATTATATTGAGAAACCGGTAATTTCTTTTTTCTATCTTGATTACTAGCTGTTTGCTTTTCTGTACCTATTATAAATAGATAAATATTTTATTATAATAAGTTATTAATTTGTAGATATTAATTATATAATAAAACTACATAAC